TAACCTATCTAGGTCCAATTGCAGCCTATTCCTCCCTTCTAGCATGCCCACTTCCCCCCACATCTTAGTGTTGTCAGCAAATTTGAACAGCGTGCTTTTTACCCCCCCCCGTCCAAGTCACTGATGAAGATGTTGAACAGTGCGGGTCCGAGGACAAAGCCCTGGGGGACACCACTGCCCACGTCCCTCCAGGTTGAAAATGACCCATCCGCCATCACTCTCTGGGTGCAGCCTTCCAGCCAATTAATGACCCATTTGACTGTGTAGGTGTTCACTGCTACCCCTATGTCTAAGGATTTTGTGACCTGGTCATAGAAGGCCACCAGGTTGGTCTGACAGGACCTGCCTCTAAAGAACCCATGTTGGTTGCCCCTAAGCATAATCTCCCCTGCTGACCTCTCACGGACATGCACCAGGATAATTCTCTCCAAAAGCTAACCCAGGATCGAGGTAAAACTGACTGGCCTATAGTTCCCTGGGTGCTCCTTCCTCCCTTTTTTGAAAATGGGAACCACATTGGCCCTTTTCCAGTCCTCTGGCACCACACCAGAGTACCACAAGTGCTCATAAAGCCATGCCAGGGGTCCCACAATGACCTCTGCTAATTCCCTCAGCACTCTGGGGTGGAGACTGTCAGGACCAGCTGATTTAAATACATCTAGTCCCTCCAGAACTTCCCTGACTAGTTCCTCACTGACCCTAGGCCTGGGTGCGCCTCCCCCAGGGCCTGAGGGGGTCCCGGCAGACGAGCTGATCTGGTCCCTACTCAGGAAAGTGGAGGCAAAAAAAATTGTTAAGTAGGTTAGCTTTGTCATCTGGTGCAACAACCAGATTTCCTAGCGTGTCTTGCAGAGAACCCGTGTTTCCCGGTACCTTCTTTTTGCCCCGTATTATTTAAAAAAGGACTTCTTGTTGTCCTTGATCCAGGTAGCTAGTCCCAGTTCCATCTCTGGATTAGCGTTCTTGACCGCCCCCCCTGCAGCCCAGAGCAACTGAGGTATAGTCCTCCCTGGTGATGTCCCCTCCCTTCTATTGGGTGTACGCCTCCCTTTTTGCTAGGAGATGTTCCCGCATGCTTTTGGTGATCCATGGGGGCTTTTGCGCCCTCTTGCCCCGTCATGGCAGGGTCCTGCAGGAGGGCCGTGATCTCCTCAAGGCCCCTTCCCATGCCAAGTTGGCCCAAGGGCACCCTCAAATTCTCACCTGCCACGTCTATTGATGTTCCAATATATTAGGGAGGCTGCCTTATGTCTTCTTGGACACGGTCCACTGTAACCTCTGGCCCTGTAGACTCCCAGACCCCTCGTGGGTCTTGTCCTGCAAACAGGTGCTTCAGGGCACCCTAGCCTTATGGGCTATGCGTGGCTCCAACCACCCCTTATACCACGCCCCAAGCCTCACAGCTGGAATAGATGTTGTTCAGTCTCTCTGGGGCTCTCCTATAACACCACCCTCTCTCTGGGGCTTGCCAGTAAGCCGTCCCCTTCTCCAGGGTTCACCACGCCTACACTGGGGCTTCTCAGTAATGCCCCCTCTCTGGGGCTCACCACCCCTGCCCTGGGGCTTTTCCACAACACCCCCTTCTGTGGGGGCTTCTCAGCTGCCCCTCTCTGGGGCTGGGGTCTATACCACCCAAATACTGTGCCCTCACTGTGCCCTCACCGGCACTGGGGTCCTCACACTACCTTGAGTCCCCTATGAGGCCTCCTCCAACCCCTAATAGCCTCACCCAAACTACTGGTGTAACAACAAAACAAAAACACAAGCCCCTAGGCTATAACATAACTTAAAGCCACCCGCCTAAAACCACATGGCTCAGACATCTTAGAGCTGCCATCCTTTACTCGGTTTGAGCTGTACCTGCAGTCAGGCTTCTTCTCACATCTTTGCTCAGGGAGCTCCTTCCTCTCTGGCTGCTGGCAGGGAACTGCTTCTGGTCTCAGCTCCTAGGGTTTATAAGGGCCAGGCCCTGCCCCTTACAGTCAGCTGACTGCTGGCAGGTGTGGGTCGCTTGCTGACTCCAGTTGCCCTGGCAACCAACAGCTGAGCTCCTTATTCACTGCTAGGGCTCTTTCCTCAGCAGTTTCTCCTCTTTAGGAGCAGGGCCCCCAGTGCTCTGCTACACCCCCTTTGATCCTTGTTGGGATTACCTCCCTGTGGGCATGGAGGATCGTCTTCTTAAGGAACGACCACTCGTCTTGGACACCCGACTCCCCTCCTCTCTGGGACCTCAGTACCTACCTCCCCAACTATTCTTCTTACCTCATTACCTATTTTTCTTACCTCATTACTCCCGCCTCCCTCAACCAGAAGCTTCTGCCTGTCCCAGCTTTCATTGCTCCCCTGCCCACCTGCTTCGGCACCATATGGCCCTGGGCCGGACTGTGGGAGCACGGGGTTATGCTGGTACCCCAGGGCCAGGAGCAGGAAGGTGTGTATGCATGTGTGTGTGCATGCACGCACAGTGAGGGAGGGGGAGAGAGAGACAGAGAGAGCAATGATAGGAGAGAGAGAGAGAGTGTGTGTGTGTGTGTGTGTTTGTGTGTGTGTATAGTGAGGAAGGCACAGAGTGTGTGTGTATGCAGTGACGGAGGGAGGGAGAGGGAGAGTGTGTGCGAGTCCCACAAGCACACCTCACCATACACACCACACATCCCAGGCACCCCCCCCCACAGCTTCCCACAAACCCCATACCCACCCACACATATCCACACACACACATCCACATGCTCCCTTACTCCACACGCACACCCCACACACCTGTCCACCCCCTCATACCCACATGCAAAATGGGACAAAAATATTTTTTGAAATCAAATTCATTAATATTGTAGATGTTTGATTTTTAGAAAATATAATTTGGTATTTTTCTGGTTCCGAGATGGCAAAACTCCTTTCTAAAAGGAGTATTTCCAGGGGTCAAGGAGCGAGGAGCAGCCTTCTGGTGGCAAAGTTCAGGGATGTGACTTTTGGTCCCAAGGTCATTACCAGGGTTTGGGGTACCTGTCAAGGGGTGGGGCTACCTGTGCAGCCCTTGACAGCTTGCCAAAACCCTCTTGCACTACAATAGTTGAATGATACAAGGTTTTCTCTAAGATTGTTTGGTGTTTCTTTTTCCCCCACCATCTTCCCCCTCTTAATAAACATTGTTATAATTTACTGTTACTTGCAAATGAGAAAGTTTGTTTGTATTTGAACACAGAGGTAGAATTTTCCCCCTGGGTTTCCAGGTTGGGTTTCAAACCAAGATACAAAAATTGTGTAAAACCACTTAATTTGAACTCAGCCCTTGTTAATGCCATCCAGTACTTGGCACAATAAGGGTTACATAGAGAAAAGACTTATAGTTTGAGTGCAAGGCACATGAAGGGAGTTCCCTTACTAATTCTGACCTATAGCTAATTTCTGATTTAGCAAAAAAAGGTTGAGTATTAGCTTATAGTGTTCATGTTTTCTATTCTGAGAGCGCTCTGCACAGTCCATGAGGACAGGGTTGTAGTATGCATTTTATTGCTGTACTTGAGGGCTAGAAAATGATATTTAGAGACTTGCTTTTAGGAACTGGCTTATAGATAAAATAGATATTGTATTATCTAATGGTCTAGGGGAATGGCAAGGGTTAATTGGTTTCTAACAGACTGTTTGTGACAAAGTTTCACAGCCTTCAAGCCAATAGGCATACACATCCTGGGAAATTAAAAACATCCAAACTGTATTTTCATAACAAAGATAGGCCTGGCACTAGTTCACAGTGCTCAGCTGCAAAACCCCTGGGATTTCCAGTTTGCAATGAAATGACCAAATTAAGGTATGTGTATGTGATGGATTTATGGAGATAGAATTTTGGCTGACAAACCAGACCATGGACAGCAGGATGACCACAAGAAAACAAATCGATGGTACCCAGAAA